TGGTCGCACCGGGGGGGGTAGAGGAGGTCAAGCTGGGGGGGGGGGGGGGTCTACCCCCTAGTTCTCCTTTAAAATGTTAATAGTAACACAAAAAAATGGTTTATGTTCTAAAGTGGAAAAACCTTTGGTTTGTTGAGTATGAAATTTTACGTTTCACTTTCTATACTTCCAGGTTTTTTTTGCATAATGACTACAAGATCAGAACCCTCCACAGATGAAAACCTTTCCTCTGCCTTGGAAAGATGTTTGGGAATTCTTAAAGCAGCAAAGAATGACAGTGAGCAGTTTGCTGCACTACTACTGGTAAGACCTAATAGAGATGTAAAAGAACTGAAAACAACTTCAGAATAACACATTGTATAATATAATGTCAAAATTGCTTTTGGACTGTATTCTAAGGGATGTTCTCTATTACAATTTTTAACCAAAATGCCATTTGGTTTTAGATTGTGATGGCAGAGGGCCTAATTCAACTTACTGTTTCCTATATATGTACAGTATATAAATGTCAGGCACTGTGATCTTTCAACTGATGGATCGTTGCCCAATGTCATTATCTTAATTTAGAAGATGGGTATTTACTGCTCTGTATCGCATTATTAATTGAATGCTTCTGTATCTTCTAGGTGACAAAATGTGCCCAAGCTTCAGATCTGGATGATGAAACTAGGCGCAGAATTTTCGATGCAGTTGGTTTCTCCTTCCCAAACCGGCTTCTTTTCTCGAAATCTTCATCTGATGGGTGTCCTGAGTACTTGCTTCGAAGTCTTGGCTTAACCTTGTTGGCTTGTTTTTGCACTGACCCATCTCTGGCCAGCCATCTTCAAGTTCTTAATAAAATTCCAATTCTCAATGAAACTGTAAGTGCACCAAGCCAACCAGAAAACAAAAATGAGTCTTCCATGGCAGAGGATGCCTATCAGTGTTTCATGGGTATCATGGCTGCTCCTGGGGGGATCAAACACTTGGTATCTGGTGGCACCATATCTTCTTTATGTCAAGCTTATTTGAACCGCTGTCATGGTTGGGAACATGCTCTTAGAATTCTAACCACTTTGCTCACCTCTATGCCAGAGAAATCCTGGAAGAAGGGTCGAAGAGAACTTCAACTCCTATTGGTTAGGCTGAGTGAAGAATTCAGTAAAGAAGAGGACAGTCGTAAATTCCACCTAGCAGACATTCTTCCTGTGTTTCTACCTCCTTCACCCATTTTGACTGAGACTTCTTGGGGTAAAGACTGCTTAAATAATCTTTGTAGGGGTTTATTTAAAGTTCTTCGAAATAAGCTTATTGCTTCCCAGAGAGACCCGGCATTAAAGCTTGGAGCTTGCCTGTCTCAAGTTTATGGATCCTCCTGGATTTGCACTGAAGGAAACGAGAAGGGCAAATTTTTCTGTTTACTGGTAAATTTGGCTTGTGTTGAGATCAGGATGGCACTGGAGGATCCTAATCCACTCAGTTCCAGTCAAGCCATTACAACAGCTTGTTACTCCCTGGTAGAGATGGGCATTCAAGAGTGTGCAAAAGAAGAGGTATGTCCCATGCTTAAAGAGGACCAGAAGTTGCAGCTTCTTCAAGTTATACAAGAGGCCTGTGGAGCAGTGATGTACTACTTACAGCAGGTATTCTATGGTGTCATTAACTATGTATAGTCTTTAAAAAAAAAATCAAGGCCGTAATAACTGATCTCTTTTATTCTCAGGAGAGCAGTACTTTGTAACTTTAATATTCTCCTTTATAGCAGTAAGCTCGAACTACATGGATGACTACATTGGTTGCACTACTAAAAGTGCCAATGAATAATTGCTAAGGGTAGCGATAAATCACCAAACTGATGAAACACATTAATGCTATGGTGTAAACTACACATGGCGTGTAGCATATAGTAGATCATTGTGTGATTCTATATACGTCTGTAGCTTACTCCATAGGGAGCCATTTTTTCTATGTGTTAAGTGGTTGATTGGACCGATCGATTTTCAGTAGTTAGTAACTACAGTTACTAAAAATTGTAACTGTAGTTCTATCCTTAGCCCTTAAGCATATCTAAGCCTAAGCACAAAAATAAAATATTGTGGCTTACAGGCCCTGAGATATAGTGGCTACAGTTTTTTCTTTTAAAGACTTTTATCCCTTTATATTTACTTGATGATCCTGACAGTAACAGACTTTGGTCCAAGGGTAACAATGCTCACTCACTTTACTGTATCTACAGAAGAGCAACATTAGCACCCTAGGCCACTTCCTAATTTGAACAATAGAACATATCCCTGTCTACATACCCACATAACATGGGGGGAGGTATTCTGCAGTTCAATGATGGTAACCTAGGCAGAGCTGATATTGCTTCTTGGGATTTCAGTACAGTAGAGCCTGTGTTGTCAGCTCACTGGATTTCTGGCTGGATCAACAGATTTTTTTTTTGCACTTTTCAAACAGATATAAAATGCTTTTAATGGTATATTTAGCAGACCAAACGTGGACAACAAAGAGAAGTTCATTGGTTTACATTCACTTTAAGGCCTCATTCAAATGGGGCGTACACTGCCTGCGTCCTAGTGCGGACACCCGGACCTGCACAGATGTGCAAGTTCGGGTGTGTGGATGACAGCGTACACCCACAGCGTCCTCCCGTAGGGAAGAACCGGCTGCTGCGTGCAATTACACGTAGCACCTGTCTCTCCCGAAATCGGCACATTTACGGGCATACACGGACCCTTATCCCCCGTCTGAATGAGGCCTAAGAGAGTTGAGATGCAAAATGATGTGATTTTCTTTTTTGAATTGATCTAATACATTCTCTTCATAGGCATAATAGCTATACATGTTTTTTTCACGAACTGTAAAGAGTTAGACATTAAACACTACGGAGCTTAGAAGTAGATTGTGGTTAATCTTTACTTTTTTCACAATTTTTTTATGATGACATGTTTACCATTTGCTCCATTTAAGCTTCCCATTGACTCTTTTAGGTTGGGTTGGGGAAACATGAGGATCCATTTGTGCTGGCTTCTGTAAGATTACTAGGAGCATGGCTGGCAGAGGAAACCTACTGTCTCAAGCAAGAGGTCATTCAGCTTCTTCCTTCCCTGATACATTATATGAGGACTTTGTATCATCTGGGTGCTACCTGTAGAGCTCAACCTAAGGAAGTGTCTCAGGTGGCATTACTGTGCAGCAACTGGGGAGCAGTATGGCCAGGAGATGCCATCAGGTATGAGATATCTGTGTGCATGCAAAACGTTTTGTCAACTTTTTGTAATTAAAAATCTTTATCAAGTGTTTTTGTCTTGATTCATTGCAGCCAGGGGTTACAAATCTTATGACAAATGTTTGGTTTGCTTTCTTAGAATGTTTTTGAAAGGGTAGCTAAATTGACATACATCTTCAAACCCATTTTGCACTGCTACTTTCCGGTCACTTGTCTATGCTAGAGTTACAGCTTTCTGGAGAATTGCTTTTGACAATTGGGCAGTAGTATGGGTTTGTTCATAAATGATCTTGAGAGTTGGATTTCCTACTGTGCTGGAAATTGACAGTCTTCTTCTGCCAGTGTAGGTAGTATACTAGGCATCACCCTACTTTCTCAATTAGGGGTCGACCAATTATGAGATCTACCAATAATCGGAACCGACATTTACAAATTTTTTTATTATTGGTACCGGACTTAAATTTACAGATATTACTGATAAGTGCCCACAGCGAAGGGGACCCCCGTGGTCACCCCCGCTGCCCCATTCATCTGCAAAGGCTCCCCTTCACTCCCATCACTAGTAGGGGTCGGCCGATATCAGGCCCACTGCCTGCTGTTTACATTAAGCTGCCAGCTGTGGAATCTTGCCACCAGCCTATAAACACATAGCCTGGACATTGGGCTATGTGTTCATCGGCCAGCAGCAAGATTTCACAACCAGATGCAAACCAAATATTGGCACCTGATATATCGGTTATCGGCCTGAAAGGTGGCCCGTGATGGGTATCGGTTCTGAAAAAATTATATCGGTTGACCCCCTAATCTCAGTGCCTGGACAGCATATATGTATACTTCATATGGCCTATTAACTGAAGTATGTGATTTTTTTTTTTTTTTATTGATTTTTTTTTTCCTCTTGTTCTTGTATATCCTACTACTAATTGCCATTTTGGCTTACTTGCCAGATTCCTGCTTCCTGCTATGTGCCATCTAAGTGCAGAAGAAGCACCGCGAAGGATACTGATCTCTGAAGGGGTCCCTGCATTGCTCTGTGACTACTACAGACAGCAGTGGGAGGTGTTTTCATTCAAGGATGATTTGCCAGCAGAAACAAGACGTGAGGCAGAACTGAGTATGCAAAGCTGCTGTGGGGTCTTCCTCAACTTAGTGGTGACCGAGCCAACACTTGTTGGGTACGTTTTGGATGCAGTATTATTATTTTAATTATTGTTTGTAGTGTTGTTTTTATATGAACTTATAAAAATCTGTTATTGTTTCCATACGTAAGTGATTTTAGGATTTTTCCATGTTATTCTGCAGCTTTACTTTATTTTGTTACAGATTATTTTTAATATCTGTTTATAACTGTTCAAAGGTTTAGTAATTGGGCAGAATTTATCAAAGCTGGAGCAAACAATCTGAAGCAGTGGTCTATAGTAACCATTCAGCTTCTTTCCTAAGTTTAGCTTTTATTTTAGACCCTAGACCAAAATGAGCACTTAACCCTTGCAATGCGGAGGTAGTTCCACTGCAAGGGTTATGTTTTCTTCTGTCCAGAGTTCTTCTTTAATTATATGCTTGTTAATCCATTTGGCACTTTTGCAGCTAAATTGGGCTAACACCTACTTGGATTTGTTCCCAATGGTATAGCATAACTACATTACATTGAAAAATTGCAGCTTACCTTTAAAATGTTGAATGTGCTAACTCACAGAGGCTTCCTGTTCATTCACAAACTGAGGAGGCATAGTACCCTCCCCAGTTATGAATGGACAGGAAGCCTCTGTACTGAGTGCTCCCGTTCATTCATAAATGTCGCACATAGTAAGTTATTACTATGTACCCAATCATGAATGAACAGGAAGTGATGTATGACATTCTGTACTGTGCTGGCAGATTTTATTATCAATTATAAACTAGATCTGAACACTGCCTAGTGTAACAAAGGAGTTACAGACTTTGAGGCATGGTATGTTAATGAGAAGAAGCCTGGTCTGTCCCTCCTACTTTCATTTTCAAACTGCTCAGAGTAGCCTGCAATATGAGCAAAGGAAACATCTGAAAGGTAAGAATAAGTGATCTCAGCCCTCTGTCTCTTAAATGCACATTGCAAGTTATTATAAACGATTTTTTACATTATTTTTAAAGTATGCTTTGTGAGTATACTCTAGTGGGGGTTTCTCAAATGTGACTTTAAAAGTAAAAATACACTTAAGGTCCTGGTGAAATCTGGCTTCCAGTTGTGCTTTTCACATGGGCTTTCGCTGGAGACGCATTACACAAGTATGGTCCACTTTTATCACCATCAGGAATCCTACCCTGAGAGCCATCCCTGGACTATCCAGCATCATTGTTTTTTTATAGATGTGTGTGTTTTTTAAAAGAATATTTATTTATTTTTATTGCTATTGATTTTTCATCTCCTAAAATAGCCAGGAAAGCTGCTTTGTGACTTTGTTGAAGCTTCTGATCCAGTCTCTTCCTGCTCTGTTAAAAAACGAAGGAAACATGACGCTGGTAGCAAATATTTCTACTTTGGGGCTGATGATAAGCCGGTTATTAGCTGAAACTCCAGGTAAGTTTATTTACTAGGGCACATTTCTTCTCTTGTTCTTTAGTTTTTCAAACCGTTACTGGATGAAATGAGGATTGGTCAAGCCCAGTAATGATACAGTAGATTAGCATGAATGTAGGCTTGCAGGCAACTGCATGCCCAACAATAGAAGTAATACAGTACATCAGATTTGTTGTTTTAGCCTGTACAGGGGAAATAAATGGTCATTACCATAGAACAATCCACCAGTTAAAATATGCATTAAAGTTTTTTCCCACTGAAATGTAATATTTGGTATGAGCCATTAAGGAGCCAGTATTCCTACATGACTAGAAAATAAGTAGACACTGACTATAAAGGTTCAGGCACTAAAAAGAACCGCTTATAATATGTAATAAATATGTCTACCTCTTATATTTCAATTTTGGAAAGATTGCAATACAATTACAGTTGGAAAGATTAAAAGAAAATCTATGGGATCGCGCTGTCCCATATACAGTATTTTCTTTTAGTTTTGTTTTTTTTCTTTCGTTGATTTGGACTGGAAGTAGCTGCTATATGTATAAATTTCCATTGCATTGAAAATATGGTATGATAGTCCGAGTCACTGACTTTGTGCACATTGGATTTTGGATATGAGGTGTTTGGAACTCATTTGGAGAGATTAGGACTTAATTTTAAATACAGCTGGTAATACAACAGCTTTGGGCTCGGACTGAACATGAGTTCAACACGAACCCATCCTTGTCCACCTGAACCTCTGTCAGTTATGTTGCTTCAGATGACAAATCCCCAACCGCTTCTGTATGTAAACAAGCCAGTAGGAATCCTGGGTGATGTCATTTGATCAAATATGGTCATGAACATATTTGGTTGATTTCACTTAGAATCCTCACCTGCTTGTTTGTTTTCAAACAGAAGCCAGTAGGCATCAGTCATTTGTGAGGTTTTTTTATTTTTTGTTATGGTGGGTGTTGTCGCTTGCTGTTCTGTCCCTTCCCTGGCCACCCGGGCTGCATGCCTGGAAAAAAGGGTCTTTGATAAATCTCGAGGGAGACCCCACACCATTTGTCCCATTTTTTTTTTTTTATGGTGTGCTGGTTCTTTTAGAGACAGCATGGGGTATCTCTAAACATTCATAAAAGACCCATATCCAAGCATGCAGTCGGGGGGGGCAGTGAGTATGCCCTTCTGAACCATATCGAGCCACATAGTACCTGAAGCAATTTTGCAACGGGTGGGAGACCTTTCTTCCAAACAAGGGTTTTTACCTTGTTAAATACAAGGTTTTTGTGGTGTTTTTTTGTTTTGTTTTTTTGTTGTTGTTAATGCCCGGGCTATATTTTTATTTTTTTTGTTAAGCAATGTATTTAATAAAGACATGAATGAGTGCACTTGTTTGTGTGTTCTTACTTTGGGTAGCTTGTGTCTTTCTGTTAGCATGATTTGGGTAAGGATAAAACCAAATTTATTGAAACTCATTTAGCCATTCATCTAAATTCAACAAACTGTATTCTTCATAAGTCAAAAAGTTTTATTCATAAGTTATTTAAGAAAATATGGCAGAATAAATATAATAATAATGTTAATAAGAATAAGCTTTAACGATGTTTCTCTCTCCAGTTTTGCAGGAAGACGTGTCCAGGGATTTCTTCAAGGCTGTCATTCAGTTTTTAAGCCGTTCTCATGTTGCATTCGACGACACTGACACAGGAAAACATCACATGATGCTTTGTGATGAATATTCTAATGTCTGGGCAGACATATCTGAACTGTGGTTCCTTGGAGTACAAGCATTCTCTGCCTGCATTCCTCTGTTGCCCTGGTTGTCCTCATTAGTACTAGAGTCTGGCTGGTTGCACAGTGTGCTATCTCTTTTGGGCCAGGTTTCACCAGAGTCTATCGACTTTGACGTTGTGACTGTGCTGCAGGCCCTTTTCACTGAACTGGCTCGGAGCAACGTCTCTTGCAGAGAAGTCATCCTGCAGCAGGAAGGGTTGGAGAAGGCCAATATTTATGGAATGGCAGCTCTAGAACAATGCTTGTCTGAGATACAGTGACATTTTCAGAATACAGCTGCATGAGGAATTTTTATCATCGCTAGATATTGGAATTATAGACTTTCAAACAATGTATCGCTAAAGCACTTATAAAAGTATAGTAAACAAGTTTCAGTTCAGATTTGGTATTTTTTTCAAGCCAAAAACCTATTTTGGATAGAGTGGGGAAGGATTAGAACTTCTGTCCAGTTTTTACTGCTATCTGGGGCTCCGTTGCAGATTTTATCTTCACTTCCATTTTTGCTGAAAGTAGTTTCACCAGACAGGAACTGGGGACAAATCTGCAACAGGGATGCAGACAAAAATAAAAAGCCTCCCCCTAGGTTACTATAGAAAAGCATTTTCTTATCTTTTGCAATTGCTTTTTTTTTTCTTCAGTCAAGGCTTTTCTCTACCTTGCTGCTGAAGCTTTGTCTCTTGGATTGCAGTTATTCTGTGCAGTCCTTCACAGCCCTTGCTTTTGAAGTACCACGTCCAGACTTTGTATTACGTCCATCATTGTATTAGCGCATCCTGGCCCTGGGCTACTGCATCATAATACCAGGAGTAGAACACCGACACCCTGGCGTTCTAGGCTGTCACCATCAGGTCAACTTCCGGTGTCCCCCATTTGGCTAAAGATTGTAATCATAACGAATCTTCAAAGACCACTCGTGGTTGACAAAGTCTCGACTTAGTTTGTCCGCTTCCTAATTGTCTGAGCCTGGAAGGTAACGTATGGTTAGATCTTGGAGATTCGATTCTGCCTAGCTGAAAATTTGCGCTGCTATCTGTAAAAGGTGTGAATGGATGCCACCAGAACACCAAATATCTGTTCAGAATAACCAAGTATCCATTTATTGAACAAACATGTCCATCAGACAAGTGCTTTCGGGGGCCATGCAGGGTCCCCTTCATCAGGCTCAGCAATGAGCCTGTTTGGAGCCCCCGATCTGCCCTTGGCTATTTTAACAAAGGATGAGTGGGCTTATTTCCACATTGGATGAAAAAATGTCCTTATGGACCTTTATGGCCTATATGATCTTGCCTCTCCAGGTCTATCCTGTGAGCCTCTTTTGGGCCAAAAACTCTGCCGTTGCCTTAGACGATCTTGGGGCATCAGCCCTGACTTGTCCCCTGATACCTGCTTGATAACTTCTTCCAGGGTTTTTCCAAACAACATAAACTTTGGTTGGAGGCTGAATCTGCTGCCCACTGGCGAAGCCACAGTGCTCTCCTGGAAGTCACAGTAGGCCGACATGAGGAGAGCCAGGAAAATTTATATAAGCTGGGGAATAGGTAGCAGGTGCAATTGCCCCCTGGGGTGAGCAATATTGAGTGGCACAGAGACCGGTCCAGTGACTTATCTTGAAACAGCTGTGTGTTTATTGGTGCTTTACACAATCTACTGTGCTGTAAATTAAATACAAAAAACCTAGCTGTGTCCCGGCACTAACTACACAGACACACATTCCTAACGAACCACTTGCACGAACCTATTGTTTGTCAGGCACTACAAATCACAGTGACCAACCTTTGCTCCAGCAGATTGTCTGTCTGCTTTCTAGGCTCCAGAGCACTCTGTTTGCCTCACCTGCACTAAATTGCCATTGAGGCAAGGTGTAAAACCTGGGGCTGACTAGAGGTCCTGGAAGGTGTAAGACAGAAATCTGGGAGTTACATAAACCCCGGGCAGGACCTCTCCTGGCTCTCTGCATGACCACCTGCTACAAACAAATAAAATCTACATTGAAACAGAATGCAATGATTTGCAAATCTCATAAACCCGTATTTTATTCACAATAGAAAACATATCAAATGTTTAAAGTGACATTAAAGGCAGATCCCCCCTTCCCCAAATGCTGCTGTAAGGACTTGTCTTATGTGATGCCTCTTGGTCCAAACAGCTTCTTCCTTCTATTTGTTTTCCACAGTACCGCTGGTGCTGGTCTCTAATCCAGAACAGACTCCTCATGTTCCATGGCGTCTGTCCGGCGTGATCGCCCCCGGCTGCGTCCATTCAGTTTCAGTGTCGCTCTCCTTTCCCCTCCCGTGATCAGGACTGTGCATGTGCCCTCCCACACTTCTTCCTTCACAGCATTCGGGAGTCGGGACAACTTTTTTTTTTTTATGTTGGGGCAATAGATCTACTGCTTACTAGCAGTAGATATATGCCAAAAAATAGACTTAAATACTACTGTAAACTAAAAAAAATAAGGTAATTTTGAAATTGCTGGCAGCAACACATCTCAAAAAAGTTGGGACAGGGCCATGTATACCCCAGTGTAGCATCCCCTCTTCTTTTAACAACACTCTGTAAACGTCTGGGAACTGAGGAGACTGGTTGCCGTAGTTTTGGGAGAGGAAGGTTGTCCCATTCTTGCCTTACTTACGATTCTAACTGCTCAACTTTCCTGGGTCTTCTTTGTCATATTTTTTGTTTCAAGCTGTGCCAAACATTTTCAATTGGTGAAAGGTCTGGATTGCAGGCAGGCCAATTAAGCACCCGGACTATTCTACTATGAAGCCATGCTGTTGCAATAGATGCAGTATGTGTTTTAGCATTATCCTGCTGAAATATACAAGGCCTTCCCTAAAAGAAAGATGGTGTCATCTGGATGGAAGCATATGCTGCTCTAAAACCTGGTATATCTTTCAGCATTGATGGTGCCTTTCCAGATGTACAAGCTGCCCATTCCATACGCACTAATGCTCCCCCATACCAGAGATGCAGGCTTTTGAAGTTAGCGCTCTTAACAAGTTGTCATTACCCGCCACCCAGCTTCTTGATTGGTTGGGAAGCCGGCTCATTCTGATTGGCTGGCATATCAGCATCGAGCCAGCCAAAGAACATGGAGCTGGCTTCCCGGCCAATCAGGAAGCCGGGTGGTGAGGCATTACCTGCCCCCCCCCCCCCCCCCCAGCTTCCTGATTGGCTGGGAAGCCAGCTCCATGTTCACTCGCAGCACTGCCGGTCAGAGGAAATCTCCCTCTGACCGGAAGTGCCGATATCGGGGGTAAGTATCGGAGCATTTGGGCAAATAAGAGTATCGGCACAGACACCGATACTAGTATTGGTGCATCCCTAATCTATATATGTGTGTCTTCTATCAAATGCTGCTCATATATTTGAATCCCCATCCAGTTAGCCCATCCCAATGTTTATAACAAGGGTTTACTTAACTTTTGTGGCTGTAACACAGACTGGGGGTCCAAAAAGACACATTTCCTGTCCCCTTTTCTCTTTTATATCTCCCTGCCATGTCCTGCCTTTTGCTGCTGAAACAGCAGCGTCTGGGCACCTGACACCAATCTGTGCATGCAGTGGCTCAGAAAAGAGCAGCCACCAAAGTAAGTGCTCGCCCTGCAATATGGCAGCATCCTGTCCCAACAATGAAGCACGTGCCCCATGAATGTCTGGGACCTCTTCCCATGGTGGAAGTTACCGTACATCATAACAGAGAGAACCGGGTGGGGGCCAGGCAGAGGTGCCCCACCCCCAGCACAAATCACCGGGACAACACCACCAACCCTCTGCCTCCCCCCTCCCGAATAAGAAAACTCCCACTACAAAGACACCCATTTGTCCACCAGCTACAGATGACCATGCTGACACCTAGTGGTTCACATAGAGATGGCATTACATATTCATTTTCACATGACATATTCGCTGGAAAAGTATGTTTTAATGTTTGTTTCAATCAGTGGAATGGATGTCATGGCACATAATTCAAACCCACTTGTGTCCCACAGCATTTATGAACTGCAAAAAATGCTACTGCATCCTATATAAATAAGAATAAATCATTTAATTATAATATTACTGTACAATCCAATTATTATTAGACACACTTTGTTAACCGGTTATATAATAGAGATAGATCTAATGTTACATAACCTCTATAATCACCCTAAAGGATGGATTTAAAACTTAGCGTGTCGTTCAAGCCAGAAAATCTAGTGGCTTTTATTTGGAAAATCACTTTGTAAAATAACTTTGTCCCAATCGCCACCTCACGGATCCTCATACACTCTATCCAGCGCTACAAAAGATATCATAGTGGTGTCAAAATTATGCATGAGACCATGTATAATGCAGCATAAGCCATGATTCACTTATTATAATCATCAAGCTGCAATCATTTTGTAATTAGCTGAGTGCAAGGCTAGACTGAAAACAATAAATGATTGGGACAGGGGCAGCCCTGACAAGTGCCCAATTTGATCACATGTGACTAATAGTTACCACTTTGTTTGTGGGTTAATTTACAATATACTAGTCCAACCACATGTATACAATCTGGATCTTTAAACATATTTTGTTATTTAAATGTTTTTCCTGATCATAGTGACTTTCATGTATGTAAGTTCCAGGTCTTTTTACTACACTTCTAGTACACAATGCCGTTACGGCACACCTTTTTCATGGAAGCAGAAGAATTGCTGATATACTATTCTATGATGTTTACTGCCATAGCCTATAGGGTTATCAATGTGAAATCTTGAAACACTGACATAAGCAGAATACACTTTCCAAATCTGCCACAAATGTGGCTTTTGTGAGGCATACTAATTTTCTAAAGTGAATGGAGGATATCCTGCAACAACATGCATGTGAAACATGCTTATCTACTTAGAAAATGTCCAGATCACAGGTGTTTCTTATGTAGTGGTGTACCTGTAGTGATATATTATTTTGCTGGATAAATTGGACTATTTTCTAATACCATGAAGGACACTGCTGAAAGGTTCCTTTTAAAAATCACAAAACTTTGTACTTACAGTAATTCAATTGTTTTTTTTTTAACCCATCAGGTGAAAAACAGAAAGACTGCCATTACCCAGCTGCATTTGTGGCGATCTTGCTTCAATTACTTGTGTTACTGACCCAGAATAAGTATGCAGATAAGGAATTCTGACTCTTCCTTTCTGCATACTTCTTTCAGGTCTATGACTCAAAGTATTGACTGTGGGTCAAATAATAGCTAGGCACATTACTTTTTTTTTTTTTTTTAGATGGT